ATTTTCTTTTCCACTTCTTTTATTATATATAGTGTTAGATTAGATTTTATTTTATACAACATTATATAATTTATGTATCCTTGCACAGGCAAAACAGGCAAAAATAGTGCCGTCATGGCCATCCTTTTTAGAACACAGGGGAAACAACAAAAGTTTTGGATTTTAACACACTCTTTAGAAGTTTTGAAAGTACCTGCAATTGAAGACCTTTTACCATATTTTTGCTATTTTGGAATTTTTCTTTGAAATTTTGGCCAAAAAGTGGGAAAACCGGCAGTGTTTACTCATTCCAAATTAGGACGCATCTACTGAAATGGAACCTCCCACAAGCTTATTTGAATTATGCTTTGCCAAATAAACAATGACGGCGGTACTGTTTACAGTATAGAGGATCAGAGGAATCATGTGTAAAAATTTCTTATTGTTAGACGTTCTCTTTTATTTTCTTTTCCACTTCTTTTATTACTTAGATTAGATTTTATTCTATACATTATATAATTTATCTAGCCTTGCACAGGCAAAAATAGTGCCGTCATGGCCATCCTTTTTTTTGGCCTTTTTCTCCTTTTCTCTCTTTTTCTTTTTTGTTTTTGTTTAGTTTAGATTTTCCCCTTTTTTACTATTTTTTTTATTTCGTAATTTTCTATTGTTCTTTGATAGAATTCTTCTATCTAGGAGGTTAGGAGAAGAAGGTTGGGAAAGAAGGCGGTCATGACGGGCTGATGAACCAGGTCGGTGAACCGGGGCAGGTCAGCTTGATGTAGGTTGAACCAAACCGGGGAGATTAAAATCATCTTTGGCAGGTCGCACACAGGTGCATGAATATTTAGATATTCTATATAAGTAACCAGGTGAGTTACATACCCGTATCTTTAGATGTATTCTTTTTTCTTCAGATTTAATTAATGATCAATAAAGCATGGGCATGTAGCATGATCGCTAAAAAAAAAAAAAAATTACATCATAATTTATCATATAGTGTTTTTAACTATTTTCCATTATCTTATAATCCATCATATGGTATTTGACTACATGTTATCATATGCATTAACTAACTATACTTAATTTCCGATTGACCCCAATAATTAATAATTCATGATTCAATCGATTATATAAGATTACAATTTCATACACAAAGCCTTTTGAATGCGACAAATACTTGTATATTCATTTAAGCATAGCTTTTTTCTTTTTTTTTTTTTATCTTATTCTATAATGAGATCGGGATTGAAAAGAATGAATGTAATGCATTCACTTATTTTCAGTTATCTAAATCTCTAAAGTAAGATACATTAGTGGAGCATTTAATATTGGATGTTGTTATAGCGAAGGAATAATATACTCATCAAAATCTGCAGAGATGAGCACGCAAGTGGAATATATAATACTGGAGTTGAAAAGGATGAATGTAGAACATTTAATGTTGGATATTATTATGGTGAAGGAATTGGGAGTTGAGAAGGATAAATAATATTTAGGGTTGGGGTTAGAAAATAAGGAGATTTTGAATTGTATAATATATTATTTGTTATAATAAATTAAATAAAATTATAAAATAAAATTAAATTAATATTTTAATTTGTAAATTATTCATCAACTCTTTCCGATGATTATCTGGACCAAAATTTTTCCGCTAAAGAAAACCAGAACTACTTGTTGGAGAGTCGTGGCCAATACAGTGGTTTGTCTAGAGGTCAACTACTACTCTCGAGGACTCCTCTAAAGAAGGACTTTCGGCATGCAAGCCAGGAGTGTTATTATACAAGATAACTGGCAGGCAGTGCCCTTGTATAAAAAATCTTGGTGAAGTATGGGTGGGGTGGCCCAACTCTGTCGACGAAGCTGTTAGGCCGTTACTTCAATGAAGAACACAAGGAAAACAACAAGAAGCTCTGCTTTTTCAACACACTAATTTAAAAAATTTTGAAAGTACTTGCAACTCTCTTCTCTTATTTCTGCTCTCTTTCAGTTTTCCAAAATTTTTTTCTCAAAAAGTGGGGATTTGGCTTACCCCCTCCAAAAGATCAATATTGTTTATATCCCAAATCCAGAAAGCCTAGTAGATTACAACCACATGTTCGATGGATACGGTGCTACTAATTTGAACAGGTCCCGAGTTATAAGTCAGAACCAAATATTCCGGAGTTGGTCATATGGTCAGAAAGAAACAATGATGTTAAAGCGAAGCTTTATAGTAGAGATATACAAATATTGTATTTGTTATATAATTTTTATACTTGCCTGGTATGGGTTATAATAGTGCATTTTCTTTTTTCTTTTTTGTTCATTTTTGTGCTACTTCTTGATAGAAGTAGCTGCTATTTCTCACAGGAGATAGCTTTTCTTGTTCAGCCTGTCAGGGTTTATCTCTTTTTTTACATTTTCTGTTTCCCTTATTTTTATTCCTTATTTTTTTTCCTTTCTTGTTTTGTATCTTTTTTTGTATATAAGCTCCTTTTCTTCTTGATGTACGTTCTAGTATTGAGAATACGGAACATTATTTTCTTTCGCTCTTGGCAGGCTGACAAGGTCTTCTAACTTACATGTAAGTTGGTGTGACATGTTACTCTTGGGCATGCTAGATGCAGCCAGGTGATGTCAGGCTTGCAATTTTTATACTGTCATTATTTATTCTATCTGAGGTTGTTTAATAAAGTATTGTATTTGAGCTCCAGCAAGACAGTTAAAGAGCTAAAAAAAAAAAAAAAAAAAAAATTTGTAAATTATTTTATTGTGGTTTATTTTTATAATAAATATGTTTTTAAAATATAATAAATACATTTTTAAAATATAATAAATATGCTCTTAGTATGTTTTTAAAATACAATAAATGTATTTTTAAAAGGATTTTGTAATATACTGCCATGGTGATGTATCGCCACCCCTGATCAACCAATTAGAATGCAGGATCAGGTGTAATGTGAAATCGAAGCGATTATAATTTTTTTTCAAAAATCGGTTGTAGTACAAAATTCTCACTATAAAACCATCTGTTGTGCTCTAACAAAAAAAATTCCTCGCAGAATTTTGGGTTTAAAGCTTTTTACTAAAGCACTCTAACTTAACACGAACCCTAACCTAACCCTACCCTTACCCTAACCCTAAGTTAACGAATTTATTTATTGTTTTGATTTCACATTACACCAGATCTTATAGGGGGTGATACATCGCCAGGGTGGTATATTACTAAATTCTTTTTAAAATATAATAAAAATGTTTTTAATATGTTTTTAAAATTATAATATATATGCTTTAAAATTATAATAAGCATATTTTTAAATTATAAAAAATATATTTTTAAATTATAGTACATACGTTTTTAAGATATAATAAATTTATTTTTAAATTGTAATAAAAATGTTTTTAAAATAAATTAATATAGATGTAGCTGTAGGCTACATGTAGCCTGTGTAACATTCGTAATAGTAATATGATTCTAGTGTAACATATGATACAATCATTAGTAATGGTAATGTGATTCTAGTATAATATATGATACAATAGCGCATACGCATATAAAAGAAAATTCAATTGTTATTACTATTACAAATCAAAGCTAATGTAAAGTATACACTTACTCTAAAGTAACTGTTTAATCATCTTTGTGCTGAACGAGCATTCCTATTCTTGACAATACTAGCCTGGTAAAGGCTGCGTGGTAAACGCTTAGTTTTTTTTTTCTGGTGCAAAGTAAGAAATTAAGATGCTTGCATTTCGTTCTAGTGCATAAGGTGTCCAACATATAAACAAGGTGGGTTGCTAGTAAGTTAAATAGTACAGCAGTTATATATTATTGATTTACTTACCACTGTTCTGTTGGCTCCAGCTATACTATTTATTCCAACCATTTTGTTCATTTCAGCAGTTATATTCATTATGACCATTCCATTTGTTTCACATCAATAATATATACAGTATAACGAGTGGGTTATTAGCTAGCTCTTTTCAATTAAATATTACAGTACTGTGATTATATTATTGGGTTACTTACTAAAGTTTGTTGACTCTAGTTGTTCTATTTGTTCCTGTTGTCTGGCCATTCTATTCATTCCAGTTTTCTAGCCATTCTATTTGTTCTATTCACAAAATATATAAAACAAGGTAGTTATTAGTTAGCTTATTCAATTAAACAGTACAACCAACTAGCAATTGTATAATACTTAAGATATATATGAAGCGAGGTAATTTATTTTAGTAAAGCATTGTGATGGATTTATTTGATTATATGAAGTTAAAGCTATAGTAACTTATTATTAATAAGTTACTATAGTTTTAACTTTCATGTAATCAAATAGGCTTAGTATTTAATACATTAGTCATTTACTTACTTCCTTATTATAATAGTTCCATCCAAGCATCAAAATTGACCAATGAAAATTTAAATTTGAATTCACCAGTGCCACTTATTAGTGAACAAACATCTGATAGTATTAGTATTAATAATAAACAATTATCAAATAGTGTTATTGACATATCTGAATCTTTTTTACCAATTCCAATACCAGAATCTGGTATGCTGTTTAAATCATGGACAGAACTTGATAGGTATATTGATGCCTATTGTAATTCTAAAAACTTTTCTAAAGTTATTTATGGGGCAGAATATGATAATGGAATAAGGTGTTGTCGTTACAAGTGTGAATACTTTACTGAAACTATAAAAAAATAAAAAATATTATTATTATATATTTATTATGTTTTTACTATGTTTTAAAAAACATAATAATTACTAGTGATAATTTAATAATAATAATATAAACAATACATATTAAAACTATTTT